TTCCCTGTGGCGTACCCCTGGGGTCCCAGAAGCACCCTCAGGAGCACGCACTCTACAGGTTGCGTGAGCCTGTGACTGCCGGCTGGGAGCCTGGGCCTCTTCCAGTGGGGTCTCTAGCTTGCTGTGAGACTTTGAACAAGGTGCTTCCTTCTCTGGCCTTTAGGTTCCTTATTTGAAAAGGTGGGAGGGACCCAGTGAGCTGTAAGGCCCCTCAGAGGCCTTCTGAAGAGTCCTTGGGCAAAAGGGTCCCCCAGTCGGCTTGGAGTGACCCAGATGTCACAGGGACAGGGAGATCCCTTCAGTCTTTCTGACCACCTTTCCCTGTTCCTAGGCCACCCATCCAGCTGTCTGCCTGTCTGTCCTGCAAGTGCCTCTTGAGCAGCACCTGTGCCAGGCACAGCCCTGTCCTCAGAGCTCACAGCCTGGCACGGGACCCTTAAGCCAGGAGCACGACCACCGAGAGCTGGGAGGGAGATGCACAGGGGAGCTGCCGCAGGAGCCCGCACCTGTCTGAGGGGCTAGAGGGGGTGTCTGATCAGAGGAGGGGACCCTTTGCTTTCACCACCTGGAGGAGGCATCCCCCAAATACTGCATGTCAATCCAGACACAGGTCCAGAGCCCCTGGAGACCTCAGGCTGGAAGGGGGTACTCGCAGGAGTGTTCTCTGTCTCTGCAAGGGTCACCCCCACCCCCGCCCACGCCAGGAGCCGTGGGACTTCCCAGGCCTTGAAGGCACACTTCCACTTCTATCTGTGCGGCTGGAAGCAGCAGCGCTTTTTTTTTTTTTTTTTTTTTTTTTAAATAACCACAGCACACTGGGCTCGTCTGTTCATAGCAGCCAAGAGAAACAGAAGCCACCGCTCGCCTGGGGAAGCTGTCCCTGCAGTCCTCTTGATGCCCCTGCCCCCATTCTCCGCGGGCCTCCTGGCGGGGACACGGGCCCAGCAAGGCAGATAAGAGGGGAGCCGGCTCTAGCCCAGCGCCGCGCTAGGCCGGCAGCACGCAGCCCCTCCCTCCAGCTGCCCTGTGAAAATGGGAAACCGAGGCTCAGGGAGCTTATAAAGTGCTTGAGGGCATATGTTAGGGGCCAGATGTGACCAGGAGTCCTATGAGGTGGCCACCCTACTGCACATCGCACCCCCCCACCCCACCCCCATCCGCTGCCGTCCTCTGGGGCCCGGGTTAAGGGCACACGCCCTCCGGGGCTGTCAGGATTGCGGTGGAGTCCCCGTGCCTCAGCCCCACTTGGGGTTCCCCAGTAAGTCCTTTTGGCTGGAGGAGGAGGCAAGGAAGTTTTCGGAGCCCCAGAAGTGACAGCAAATGCCTAACTGCTCTGGGCAGAAGCCTCCCCTTGGAGGGCAGCGGTGATACGGCCACAAACAATTTCTCAAGTGTCTGAAGTGGGATGTTCCTGTTCAGTCCCGCGGCCCCACAGCTGACCCCTGCTACCACCGCCTCAGCGCCAGCCACTGGCCTCCCTGCCCACATCCTGCTGGAGCTTCAGCAGCAGACGTTTCCCAGACCGTTGCGGGTTTTGGCAGACAATCTGCAATGAAGCCTCTGGACCCCCCGAAGCAGCCGCAGGGATTAAGGCGGGCGGGGGCGGGGGGGGGCGGGCAGGGACGAGCATTTCTAGAGTCTTCAGGCAGTGCCATCTGGTACAGCAGGAGAGCACGCGGATGCTTTGGGGCCTGTCAGATCTGCTTTCTAACTTGGCCTCTACCACTCAGCCAGTTAGGGACCTGGGCCAGGAGCCTGGGTCTGCTCACCTATAAAACCACACGAGGGCTTCCCTCGTGGCGCAGTGGTTAAGAATCCGCCTGCCAATGCAGGGCACACGGGTTCGAGCCCTGGTCCAGGAAGAGCCCACATGCTGCAGAGCAACTAAGCCCGTGTACCACAACTACTGAGCCCACGTGCCACAACTGCTGAAGCTGGCGCACCTAGAGCCCGTGCTCCGCAACAAGAGAAGTCACCGCAATGAGAGGCCCGTGCACCGCCACGAAGAGTAGCCCCCGCTCGCTGCAACTAGAGAAAGCCCTCCTACAGCAAGGAAGACCCAACACAGCCCAAAATTAATTAATTAATTTTAAGATAAATAAATAAAACCACATGATACCAACCTCACTGGAGGATGTGCTGAAGTACATGACAATAAATGCCATTGACCCCAGGCTGCAGGACACATTTAGGGGGAAACTGAGGCAGGAATGGGGGTTAAAAGGTCTTTCCGTTACTGACATCGCAGGCTGAATAATAAACAGGGCCAGGCACTGTCCTAAGTAGTTTACAAATGAATTTATTTAATCCTCACAACCCATCAGGTAGATGCTATTATTCTCAAGCTACCGAGGAGGACACAGGCTCAAAAAGGTGAACTACCTCAGCCCAGGTCACCCAGCTGGTGAGAGGCTGAGCCCAGCCAGCCAGCTCCATCCACACCAGTAAGCTCTGTCTCTTGGGTTGGAAATAAACGTCCATCGATGCGATGTCTTCGCTTGCCATTCAAGTCGGCTGTGTTTATTGAGCTCCTGTGACTGTGGCATATTGCTAGGCCCCTGGTTTCAGCCTAAGCCAGACAAGGCCCAGGCCCTCCTCAGGAGGAGACGCAGCAAGTCATTAGAGAAGGGGTTGGCTGGTGACCTCTGAGGTCCCCTTCCGCATCTGCAGTTCTAAAACTATGATCTCAATATCCACTGATTGAAACCTCTGAGTCCAGAAGTCTCTGATGACAACATCCTTCGAAAGAACAGCCAATGACCCAAACTTCAGGGCTTCCAACCTTTTCACGATTCAACATCTGAGTGTGCTCGAGCCTAAATATACCCTAAAACATACCCCTTACCCAGCAGCCCCATCCAGGCTGGACATGGAGGAGCCAGGTGCCCTTCCTGCAAAGGCTCTTGGGTCTGGCTGGAGGGGAGTCTGGAGCCCAGATGGGAGGCCCAGAGCTCACGTGGCCTGATTATACGGCTCAGTTGTTTCCACAGCAGCTGCTGCTACAGCCCACATAGGTTGACCCCTCCCCAGGCTGCAGCTGGGGGCTCAGGCCCGGGCAAGACTAGGAGGGACAGGGGTAGAAGCCAGGCCTTGCCCTCAAGGACCTTTAGAACAGCTGGGGAAGTGGACGAGCCCAGACCAGTGTGGTCTGGGCCAGAGGCAGGGCTGGAGCAGGATGGGGATGCCATGTAGCCTGGAGATTTCCCAAACGGCAGGACAGTGGCACCTGGTGTCAAGTTGCTGCCTTGGGAGTCTTCAGTTTCCTAATTCTGCACACAGTAGGTTGTGCGCATTACGGAGACAGGGGAAACTGAGTCACCACCAAGTTCTGGGATCTGTCCAGTGAGGGAGGTGGAGAGGCCAGGACTAGAACCCAGACATTGCAAAGCGCAGCGCCACATTTTAAGAAGCCAAGTCGGGACTTCCCTGGTGGCGCAGTGGTTAAGAATCCGCCTGTCAACGCAGGGGACACAGGTTCGATCCCTGGTCCAGGAAGATCCCACATGCTGTGAAGCAACTAGGCCCGCGCGCTGCAACTACTGAGCCCGTGAGCCTAGAGTCCGCGCTCCGCAACAAGAGAAGCCACCGCAATGAGAAGCCCACACACCGCAATGAAGAGTAGCCCCCGCTCACCGCACCTAGAGAAAGCCCACGCACAGCATCGAAGACCCAACACAGCCAAAAAAAAATAAAAAACAGAAGCCAAGTCTATACTGGACTCTAATGTCTCCCTCCATCGAGGCATTCCTCAAGCCCTGCCCACCCTAGAATCCCCCCTCCAGGGGCCTTCCAGCTGGGAGAAGGGGAAGTGGGCAAGGAAACCTAGCCTGGGATCAATCCCCTCATCCTGGCCTGAGCCTTTGATCCAGGAGCCTCCCAACTTCCGGCCAGGATTCCACACTCGGGTTCCCTTTGCAGCCCCTCCCCATCCCACCAGGGTCTGCCTGGCTCTCCCTTTGGAGAGTTGGAGGGGTGGCCAGTGTCCAGTACGTGCCCATTGTGTGCCAGGCCCATGTTGGGCCCGGGGCACACTGAGATGTCTGAGGTGGAGGTCCTGCCCTCAGAAGTGCCCAGTCTGCCCACCCACACACAGTAGGTGCTCAAGTAACCCTCAAACTGAACTGAAACTCCAACAAGGCAAAGTGCAGTAGGCGTGCTAGGACCCTACCCCAGGCCCCTCCCTCTCCCCCCCCACCCCGAGCTCCTGATGCCCAAGGGGTGCAGGGGTTCAGACTAAGAAGAGCCTACTGCTTGCCAAAGGCTCTCATCTTGTATTAACTGGCAGTTATAGAGCATCTGCTGTATGTCCCAGTGTGTTCTGGGTGGAAAGCCGAAGAAATTACTACAGTACCGAGTTTGGGGAGGTCAGAGCAGTATCCACGTCCTTGCCTTACAAGAAGTTAGTGCAGGGACTGAGGAAGTCTGCCGGGGAAGGGATTTCACAGACAGCGGAAACTCGTGGCTGGGGCTAGAAGACGGCAGGGTGTCAGGGAACTGCTCTGGGAGGTTTCGCTGTGGCTGGAGGGTGGTGGGGACCCCCGTGAAAAGGGCGATGGGAGCACTGGAGGAGCAGGCAGGAGTGTCTTATCCACTCTTCCAGGTGGGCAGCGTCAGGACAGCTGACCCACAGGCCATTAGAGACAGTGAGTCCAGAGTTCCAGGGACTTGTCCAAGGGCACGCTGCAGCAGCGTGGCCCCAGGAAGCCAAAGCCTCCAGCCCATCTTCCAGCAGAGGAGCAGGGGTTGACCTTTAGCTCAAGGTGGCCAGGAGGTCCTTCCGGAAGGGAGTCTAGGACAGCATCCTTTGGGAGGCCTAGATGGGCCTGTCCTTGGCCGCTGCCTCCTAAACATGGAACGCTGTTTTCCCTTTAAGAGGGTGCCAAGGTTATTTATACCCAGGGCTTGCAGGCCGGAGGGTGGGGCAGGAACCCAGGAAGCCGGGCAGGCGCGGTGGCAGGAACGGGCTTACCTGCTTCCCGCCACCGGGGCTGGGCGGGGAGGAGCGGGGAGGAGGGGCCGCGCGCACAACCTGTGGATCTCCAGGCGGCCGGCGGACCCACACTCGCCGGGACCGTAGGGGGGGCGCCCTTGGGGGGCCCGGAAGACGCGAAAGAGCGAGAAAACAAACTTGGAGAGAGGAGTGACCTGGGGGCCGGGGGCGGAGTCGCCAGCGGGGGAGGAGAGAGTGAGCTGCAGCGAGAGCGCGGCTGGCCCAGGAAGCGGAGAGCGCCGCCCACCCACCCGGGGCGAGAGAGGCGCCGCGGGCAGAGGCAGGCTGGGCCGGGGGCTGCCGGGCCCTCGACCCCCACCGTGACCCCGCAGCCCCCAGCCCGCCCCCAAGATGATGAAGAGGCAGCTGCATCGCATGCGGCAGCTGGCCCACACGGGCAGCTTGGGACGGTGAGTGTCAACCCCTTCCCTTCCAGTCCCATTCTCACCCGGCAGGACCCTAGAGGAGGTGGGAGGTCGGGGGGAGACTGAGGACAGCTGGACAGCCACCTTCTGACTGGCCACCTCTTTTCTTCCCTCTGAATGCCATCCCCTCTCCTAGCCAGAGCAGGAGAGGCAGGCGCTGGCCTTTGGGGGAAGGGCACCCCTACCCCTGACTGGAGGGTGGGTGGAGGATCAAGGATGCTGGGTCTTCTCTGTCTCCATGAGCCCCTGAGTGGACGGTCCTCCCTGGCCTCACTTGTCCCCTCTGTACAAGGGGGGACTGTTAACCATCTCTGGTTGCCTGCGGGGGAGGGATGGTCAGGGCCCCAGACCTTGGGGGAGCAGCAGAGATAGGGTCCTGGCAGTGATGGGAGGAGGGGCCCCCCTGCCCTGCCCTGCGCCTCTTCCCGCCGTCCTCCAGCCCAGAAGCGTCCTTGCTTCTCTGTCTTGCTTCTGCTTTTCTCAGCCTCAGGTGGAAACATCCCCACATTCCCACCACAGTCCCTGAGCTGGTGGTGTGGAGGGCGGAAATTTGGGGAGCTCCCAGGGCCTGTCTTCTCTCCTCTTCCCCCTGCGCTGGGAGTTTCTCATTCTCTGGGCTCAGGGGAGCGGACTGGGTGTCCACAGACCTGCTGTAGTCACACACTGGCACAGATGCCTATATGAGCGTGGGCAGTCAGGCCGACTTGCTCGGAGCCTGTCCCCACGTGTCCCCGGGCAGGGGCCCAGGACCTGCCCACCACCACAGTCCAGAGCCCTTTGTAACCAACAGCCCAGGAGTCTGAGCTCGCACACTTCCTGTTCTTGGGGCAGCCCGGGCCTCCTTTCCCCAGGTCAGCAGAAGAGAGAGGCGCCCCCAGTCCCCGCTTCGGTTTCGTCCGCCCTCTCTGGGGACACAGCCCTGGGTGGAGGAGGAAAAAGCCCGGTATCCTATTCCCGCCCCCATGGAATGTGTTCCGACGGGGATGAGGCAGGCGGGCCACCCAGGGCGGCCTGACTGGGAGGGGCACTGGAAGCATCTGGGGTTCAGGTGCCCTGTTTGCAGTGGGGGGGGCAGGAGGAGGCGGGGGTTTCCTAACCTGGGCCAGCTCAGCAGAAGCTGTCTCCCCCTGCAGCACCCCGGAGACTGCCGAGTTCCTGGGGGAGGACCTGCAGCAGGTATGTGCCTGGGCCGGCAGCGGGTGGCAGGGCAGGCCCATGCAGGCTGTCAGCAGAGGGCCAGGCAGGGATGCCAGTTGGGGGCCCGAGTTGAGTCATTCCAATGCTGTTGGCAATGGGGTCCCCAGGAGGAGGGAAGAGAAAGGCAGTTCCTGCTCTGGGGGAGAACAGGACAGTGGGGCATGGGGGACAACAGCCCCCCACGATCCATAACCCCTGGACCCCCTCCCAGGTGGAGCAGCGACTGGAGCCGGCCAAGCGAGCAGCCCACAATGTCCACAAACGGCTGCAGGCCTGTCTGCAGGGCCAGAGCGGGGCGGACATGGACAAGCGGGTGGTGAGTGGGGGTCCCAGGGAGGAGGGGCCTGGGCAGGACACCTCTGTCCAGTGGGGCAGCGGGGTCGGGGCTGGGGTCTCCCCACTAGTCTGAGTCTCTGGCACCAAGGGGGTGGAGACTGCTCTGTCCCAAGGCTCCTCCGGCACCCCACTCATGAGGTCCTATTTCTTCCCCATCCCCTTCTTGACGCCGCCCGCCTGCACCAATCTTCTGAGCCACAGCCAGGCTTCTGACAGCACCTGAACCTCCCTGTCCAATCAGCACCCAGAGCAGGTGCTCACAACTGGGCAGTCTGTGAGGGCTTCCTGAAAGAAGTGGCATTTGAGCTGGATTTTGAGTGTTACTCACTGGTGTTAACCAGTAGCCAGTATTTATGGACTGATTACTGCTAGTCTGTTACTAGGATATCTCCATGCATTGCCTCACTTAATGTGAAAACAACCTTAGGAGGAGGCTGCCCTTACTAGCACTGTGTACCGAGGAGGAAACAGAGACAGAGAGGTAAAGTGACCCACTCAAGGTCACACAGCTAGTAAGTGGCAAAACTGAGATTCGAATTCTGGTCTCCCTGACCTAAGCTGGTGCTCTGTACAACGCTAGGTAGGAATGTGGGGGGCAAACTTGTAACTGGGCAACAGTTCCGTGTGGCCAGAGCAATAGGGAACCGTGGAGGGTTTTGAGCTCCGCAGGGGCTAGGTCAGCCACAGATGCCCTGCGGCGGGGAGAGGGCCCACTCTGAGGTTGTGTTCCTGGCTCCTCCGCCCTCCCTCTAACTGAACTGGGACAAGCTCCATGCCCTCTGTTTTTAGTTTTCCATTCAGTGATGGGACTTGGTCCATGACTCCTTCCTGCCCAATCGTGTGGCTTCTGGGAGGGGGCAGGGGGGCCTCAGATGGGTGGGGGCTCTGTACATGGTTACGGGGAGCTGTCACCTCCACCGTGCCTTGTCATCTTCCTGCTTCTACTGTCACCTGTGTCCGTGGCCCTCCTGGGTTCCCGCCTCCCCTGTCCACGCCCAGGGCCTTGCTGGGGATTCTGCCCCTAGGAGACTCGCCATGTGCTCAGGCAGGGGCGTGGAAGCAACCCAGTGGGCGAGCACACGCGCTCACGCTCACAGCCGGCCCTGCCCTTCCCTGCAGAAGAAGCTTCCCCTCATGGCTCTGTCCACCACGATGGCCGAGAGCTTCAAGGAGCTGGACCCTGATTCCAGCATGGGGTGAGCACGGACAGGGACCTTGGCCCTCACCTGGAGATGCCAAGGAGGGATCTGGGTCAGGAGAGGGTCCCAGTCAGGGAGGGCATCCACGGTGGAAGGATGACCAGGCTGGGAAGAGTGTCTGGGCTGGGAACAGTGTCCGGGCTGGGAACAGTGTCCAGGTCAGTGAGGGTGGCCAGGCCTGCAAGGGCGTTGGGCTCAGTGAAGACGAAGGAGAGATAGAAGAGACAGGGGGTGATGGGGAGGGAGGAGGCCCCCCTGCCCAGTCTCTCCAGAGGGGGGTGAGGGGCTGTGGGAGCCCGGGCCCACTGGGTGCTGTGTCCACAGGAAGGCCTTGGAGATGAGCTGTGCCATTCAGAACCAGCTTGCTCGCATCCTGGCTGAGTTTGAGATGACCCTGGAGCGGGACGTCCTGCAGCCGCTCAACAGGCTGAGTGAGGTGACCCTGCCCCCTCCCTCTGCCCCCAGCGTCCCCAGCCTCCAGCTCCCACCTCCGCAGCCCGCTGAACCCTTCCTGTGCCCGCCCCCAGGAGGAGCTGCCAGCCATCCTCAAGCACAAGAAGAGCCTGCAGAAGCTGGTGTCTGACTGGAACACACTCAAGAGCAGGTGGGAGCCACAGCCTCTAGGTGAGGTTCACGCCTGCTTCAGCCTACGGATGTGGCCACAGAGCTTCGAGGCCCTTCCCCCACCAGGAGGACGCTGCAGGGCCCACTGAGTACAGTGTGTGTCCTTGTGCACACGCCTGGTCCTTAAGAAGACATATGGGGACGGTGCATGTGAGGGTGCCTCTGTGCGCGTATGTGCATGTGCTTGTGCCAGCTGGGGTACCCAAAAGCCCGGGATAGCCATAAACAATCCTCCAAGATCCCTGGATGGCGGGAGGGGCCCCACCCTCCACTGTGGAGGTGCGTGGCCATGATCACCAAGCCCACCACCAGGGGGTGCGCCAGAGCACTCTGCCCAGCGTGGGCAGAGACCCAAGGCCAGTTCAGCTCTGGGATTTGCATCTATAAATTCCGGAATCCTATGTGGTCAGGCCTGTGGAGGGGCCCTTGGCTCTGGACATGCGATGGGGACGTAACCACCCCACCTTGGTATCATCCCCAGGCTCAGTCAGGCAGCTAAGAACTCAGGCAGTGGCCAGGGCCTGGGCGGCGGCCCGGGCAGTTACACCACCACAGCCAACAAGGTGGAGATGCTGAAGGAGGAGGAGGAGGAGCTGAAGAGGAAGGTGGAGCAGTGCAAGGTGAGGGGCACTTGGGCTTCCTGCATGTGTGGTGGTGGCACGGGTGGGTGCTGTCCCCATTTCTCAGATGGCAAAACTGAGGCTCAGAGAGGTGACGTGACTTGCCCCAGGCCACATAGCTAGGAAGCAGCAGAGCCGGGATTTGAACCCAGGCTGTCAGGCTCCAAGGTCTGTGTACTTAGCCATCACCTTGTAGCCACTTCTGTCTATACCATACGCATAACACCTGGGAGGGAGAGACGCCTGTTCACCGGAGTCTCAGTGCGTTTGCTAAGTGAGTGAATGAATGAATGAAGGGCGGGTGAACAAATGAGGGGTGAGTAACACAAGGCACTGTGCTGAGGATATAGGGACACAGAGAAGAGGACTAGAAGCTGTAAAAGCCCCCCAAGAGTTCAAAGGGGTCCCTGCGGGCTGGCCCCAGGAGCAAACTGTAAGCAGAGAGAGGAGAGCTGGTTGTGACCCTCCCCGTACAGCTTGGGCAAGTTGCTATCCTCTCCAAGCTTCCCCGCTGGGCCCCAGCCTCGCTGGTATAAGCCCTCCCCTCTCTGTCCCCAAGGACGAGTACTTAGCCGATCTGTACCACTTTGCCACCAAGGAGGACACCTATGCCAACCACTTTATCCACGTGAGTCCAAGACCAGGCTCCTGCCACCCGGAGCTCCGGGGCCACTGAGACCCCCTGCGAGATGGTGGGAGGGAGGGGTCTGCGTTTGTGGCCCCTGGGGGAGGCTCAGCTTCCCTCACTTCCCCCCGGGGGTGCCCCCTTGTCCCCATAGCTCATGGAGATTCAGGCCGATTACCATCGCAAGTCTCTGAGCTCGCTGGACACGGCCCTGGCTGAGTTGAGGGAGAACCACAGCCAAACAGGTGGGGACACAGGCAGGCCCCGACCCCCACCCCTGACCCCCCACCCTGCTTGGGGCACGTTAAGAAGCTTGCACTCCATCACGAAAGGCAGCAGGGAGCCAGAGATGCGTTCTGAGCAGGGGAGCGCTCAGTTAGATTTGCGATGAAGAGATTGCTCCGGCTGCGGCTGCGTGGAGGATGGAATGAAGGGGCAGGACTGGAACCCTGTTAGGAGGCAGGAGGGAGGTGACTGTGTCCCGGACTGGGGTGGGGGCAGTGGAGGTGGGCGGATTCAAGAGATGTGTTGGATAATTTCAGGATGTGTGGCATGGGTGGTCAGGAGGGAGGTGGTAGCCCCTTGAGAACGTCTGGGGATGCCCCTGTCTGCCCTGACCTCGATGCTCAGAGGTGGGAGGACCCTGGGCCGCTGATCTGTCTCGTCCCTGCAGACCCCTCCCCCTCGATGATGGCCGCCCCCTTCTCCAGGGTGTATGGGGTGCCTCTGGGAACCCACCTGCGAGAGCTGGGCCGAGACATCGCCCTGCCCATCGAGGCCTGCGTCATGATGCTGCTTTCTGAGGGCATGAAGGAAGAGGTGGGGCTCACTGGAGTGGGTGGGGAAGGAACACCAGGGCCCTCACTCGGTCCCACACCTCCCACATGCTGCCCGTCGCTGGGACCTGTAATCTCACCACCATTAGCGTACAGGTGCCGGGAGAAGGCGTGGCCTCCTGCTGCTGAAGTGATACCACCTCCCACTTAACGATGCTCACGTGGGCCGGGCACTGTGCCATCAGCCCTTTGCGCTCCTTGTTCCATTGGATTATCCCAATAACCCTTGGTGGGAGCCCTCATTGGCTCCATTTTGCAAGGGGGAGGCAGAGGCCAGTGGGTAGACGTGCCCAGCAGGTGAGAAAGTGGCGGTGAAGCCGGAGACTCCACGTGAGTCACAGCCACACGCTGCCCTCATCCGTCCTTTGCACCTCGGTCGTGCTAGTGTATCGGCTGCTTTCCTAAGGACACACCCTTAGGAGGTGGACCACACCCAAAGGCAGACCTAGGCTTCAGGACAGTCCTGCTGGGCCTCCTATCTCCCTTTCACTCCTAACCAGACTCCTGTCTCCCCACGACTTTTCTGAGCTCCTCCCAGACTTCCCGGTTTTGTTTTGGTTTTTTTTTTGTGGTACACGGGCCTCTCACTGTTGTGGCCTCTCCCGTTGCGGAGCACAGGCTCCGGACGCGCAGGCTCAGCGGCCATGGCTCACGGGCCCAGCCGCTCCGTGGCATGTGGGATCTTTCCGGACCGGGGCACAAACCCACGTCCCCTGCATCGGCAGGCGGACTCCCAACCACTGCGCCACCAGGGAAGCCCCTAGACTTCCCCTTTTGCTCAGAATCTTAGACCTTAAGAGTCGAGAGGAACCACGAATACGGTGGTGTTCACTCTGCCCATCAGCCCAGTGGGCCCCCAAGGCCTACTCCAGGCCATGAGTGGGCCAGGGCCTCCCAACCGGGGTGTCCTGCCCCGCCCACCCCTCTGTGATCCCCACCTTCCCCCTCTCGCACCTCAGGGCCTCTTCCGTCTGGCCGCCGGGGCCTCGGTGCTGAAGCGCCTCAAGCAGACAATGGCCTCGGACCCCTGCAGCCTGCAGGAGTTCTGCTCTGACCCCCACGCTGTGGCAGGTACCTGCTCTGAGGAGCCCTGGGTGGAGAGCCTTCCCCCCAAATCCCTTCCCTGAAGCTGCCTGAAATGATCCCATGATAGTTGGCTTAAGGCCTGATAGACATCTGAGGAGACACAGGAGTCCTTAATGTTGAGGTCCATGGTGAGCCCCCTGAAACGTGTGTATGTTTTTCTGCGGACAACATCACTAGGCTTCATCATTTTCTCAGAAGGGCCCGTGGCCCAAAGAAATGATCAGACCTAGACACGTTAGTGTGAACAAGAGCTAAAGGTTCCTAACATGGAGAGAGCTGAGGCCTGGGGGTAAAGTTGGGGGCTTGGAGGGCTGCATCTGAGCCCCCGCCACCACTCCAGGTGCCCTCAAGTCCTACCTGCGGGAGCTGCCGGAGCCCCTGATGACCTTTGACCTCTATGATGACTGGATGAGGGCAGCCAGGTGAGGATGGCGGGGGGCAGGTGCTGAGGAGGACGAGGCTGCAGAGGGGCCACCCAGGGCAGGCTCACCAGGTCTCTCCCCCGTCCACAGCCTGAAGGAGCCAGGAGCCCGGCTGGAGGCCCTCCAGGAGGTGTGCAGCCGCCTGCCCCGTGAGAACCTCAGCAACCTCAGGTGAGCCCCCAGCCCACACCCAGGCCTCCCCCAGCCAAGGCCCAGCTGCCACTTCAGGGCCGTGGGCTGGTATCCTTGTCCTAAGCAATATTTCTGAAAATACCACTTTGATGTATTAACTGTATTTTTTTTATGCTAGACATCGAACTGAACACATACCTTGAACCTTGAAGCCACAGCACCCGGCTTTAAATCCCACCTCTGCCACTATGTGGTCCTAGGCTAGCCATTTAACTCTCTGTGCCTCTCAGCACAGAGTTAACTCTCAGCACCCTCATGTGGAAGACTTGGAGCATAACAGTCCCTACTCTAGGGTGGCTGGAGGTTCTCAACTTAGTGCCTGACACGTAGGCGGTGTTCAGTAGGTCAGCTAATGTAACTAGTAAAAATGTTCCTCAATGTCCTGTGCGGTGTCTGCCACTCTTTGGCAATCCCAGGCTGGAGAAGTCTCAGGTCCTGGGGGGCCTCCATGGGTGTTCATGGCCCAAGATGCCCTGCCCCTGGTCCAAGTGCCCCTCCCACGCCCCAGGTACCTGATGAAGTTCCTGGCACTGCTGGCCGAGGCGCAGGAGGTGAACAAGATGACACCCAGCAACATCGCCATTGTCCTGGGGCCCAACCTGCTGTGGCCCCCTGAGAAAGAAGGGTGAGTGGCCACAGGTTGGGGGGAAGGCGGCAGTCCCCTCCCCCCCCCCCACATCTGCTGCTTACTTTTCCCCTGGGCCTCAGTTTCCCCATCCTTGGAGTAGGTTGAGCAGCTGCAATTGTCAAAGCTGCTGTGACGAGCAGCCAAAGGGATCATGGATCCCATGGGGCTTTGGAGATAGGCATTCTGGGTAAAGGCAGTAATGGGGTGCTTGGTGGCCTGTTACGGGGAGCTGGGCGCCCCGAGATCTGATTCTAGCGCGCCCCCCCCGCCCCCCACCTTCCAGAGATGGGCCTTAGGAAGTCACTCTGGACCTTCATTTCCTCATCTGTAAATGGGAGAGAAACTAGACAGACATTGAGGATGTTTGCTTTGGGAGTTAGATGAGATAATAAACGGAGAACTGTTTTGTAAACTGTAAAGAGCTGTGATGTGTGAGGGGTTGTTATTCACCTGGTCCTTGTGTCCCCAGTGCCCAGCACAGGGCCAGAGAGTTGGGGTCACTAGACTTTGCTAAATGATGACTCACTTTCACTTTCTTTTCGTCCCAGGGACCTGGCCCAGCTGGACGCAGCCTCCGTCTCATCCATCCAGGTGGTGGGCATGGTCGAGGCTCTGATACAGAATGCAGACACCCTCTTCCCTGGAGGTAAAGCTCCCGCCTTTGTGAACGTGTCCCTTTTTGTGCCTTCATCTGCCCAGCTTGGTGCCCTCCAGACTCAGCTTCAGTCCCTGGCAACCCTGCAAACTCACCACGAGGCCTGGAGGAAATGGCTCCTCCACTCTGAGCCTCCGTTTCTCATCTGTAAAATGGGGATGATGATGCCTGCTTCGTGGGATTCTTGTGAGGCCCACCTGGGAGTGGGAAGGCGAAACATGGTCCAGACAACATCCGGAGAAAGGGAAAGTGGTCCCAACACCGGCTGAGGAGGGGAGGCCTGCGGAAGCTCTGTAAGTTCAGATCTGCTCCCTTCTGTCTGCAGATATCAACTTCAACGTGTCAGGCCTGTTCTCAGCGCCTGCACCCCAGGACAAGGTCAGCGACAGGCCGGCTTCCGAGGAGCTTCCATCGATTGCCACACCCACCCCGGCCCCTGTACCAGCTCCGGCTCCGGCCCCTGCCCCAGCCTCAGTGGCTCTCAAGGAAAGGTAAGGACTGATGGGTATGAATGGCCCCTGTCCTGGCCTTGAGATGCCTAGCCTGAGACACCATCTCTCAGGGTGTCCAGTAGCATTTTAGGAAATATAATTATTATATTTTCATCCCAAATACCAGGTTTCCCAGTTTGGAGTGGGTAGGATAGAGACCTGAGAGGCATATTCTTCTCAACCTCTGATGTGTTCCCTTCTGTGTTATATGGTTCTTTACTGAGCACCTACTGTGTGCCAGGCGCTGTTTCAGACCCTGGAGATTTAGGGAACTAGGGAACTGATCATTTTGGAATGTGTAAATTCTGTACCTTCCAGTCTTCTCTTTGATCCTTTAAATCGGGAGGTTTAACACGGTGCCACGTTGTCTCCGTACCCAGCGGGTATTGATCAGTTATCACAGACTGCTGGGGCCCAAACCATGAATTTCCTCAGATGAGCAAGACAGACAAATGCTGCCCTTAGAGCTCGCATTCCAGGGAGTGGGGAGAGAGAATCAACCAGAACACTGATAAAGGCACAGTATAATGTCAGGCAGTGATGTGTGCTACAAAGGACAGTAGAGCAGGGTCAGGGGGTCGAGTAGGGAACAGGAGTCAGGCAAGGGGGGCTCAGGAAAGGCCTCCCCAAGGAGTAGCCAACGGAGCAGAGCCAGGAATGAGCCCTGGCCTCCTCCCCTGCTTCTCGTCCGTTCTCTGGCTTCTAGTGGCCAGAACATCCCGTAAAGGTCACATGGAGGCTGAGAGCTGAGATACAGGGGAGGCCCTGCTTTCTACCCCACATCTTGGTCACATGAGGGACCTCAGACACTGTCGCAGTGTCACACAGCAGCCAGGGCTCAGTGGATACAAACTCTGGCCCATGCCAGAAGCATCTTATCAGATCCCAGGCCCAGCCACAAAGTGGTGGAGAACAACTCCTGGGAGGACCCAAACTCAGCCTGTTGGCTGGGAATCTCCCCAGGATTCCAGGAGTCCTCTGGGTGATGGCCAAGGCTGACCCTGACCCTCTCCTTCCCTCGCAGGGCAGAGTCTGAGGCACCCCCCAGACCAGCCTCCCCCAAGGTCAGTAGGAGCTCCCTGGAGGCAGCGACCCCAACAGAGGACATGGCTCGGAGGAGTGAGTTGGCTGTGGGAGGAGAAGGGGGGCAGAGGGTGGGCAGGGAAAGGGGCCGGGCAATCCCAGACTGTCCCATGTTTTCAGACAGCCAGGGGAGACCAGGAATCCGGGTGGCTAAGGGCCCAGGTTTGCTGCCGGACACTCTGGGTTCAGATTCCAGCTCTGTGACCTTGGGCAGGTGACTTCACCTGTCTGTGCCTCAGCTTCCTCCTCTGTGTAATGGGACAATAACTGCACCTGCCTTGTAGGGCTGTTTGGAGAATTAAATGGTGCTGCCTGGCCCATACCCAGCACACAGTAAATGCTCGATAAAGGTCAGCGATTGAGTGTTGGGGGCGGTGGAGTTCAGTCCCTCAAGAAGACCAGGGATCACAGAGTGAAGAGGGCGGATGGGGTCTTCAAAAGACAGCGAAGGAGGGTGGTGGTGGTGGTGGTGGTGGTTTGGTAGCCTCCTTCTGAGCCCCTTTGGTGCGTTCACCTGTTCAGGTGGCCTAAAGCCAGGCAGGTGAGGAGGCCGAGGGTTCAGGTGCAGAGTCTGCCAGGGTAACTAGGACGCTTGGGACACCCAGCCCAGGAGGCTCTAGAGTTTTCCACCTGGATGGGAGTAGGTGGAGCAGCGTCAGGAGCCTCTGGACCAGCAGGAGCTGGCAGGTCGCACAGGGACCTTCTTACAGGAGGGGGCTTCTAGCCACCTTTCCTGGATGGGGTGCACGCAGGATGTTTGCTCACTGGAGCACAAGTCAAAGGACGGTCACAGCATCACCTGCACTGGTCCTCACGTCAGCCCTGGGAGGTCAAGGCTGTCATCTTATCTCACCGATGAAGAAACTGAGGCTCCCGGGGGCAAGTGATTTGCCCAGGCCCTCCAGTGGGTGGAGACAGAGCTAGGACCAGGGGCCAGATGTCCTGCCCCACCTAGCCCCTCGGCTGCCTTGTGAGGTTGGACTGTGCAGGGGCATCTGAGCGCTGGGGTGGGGCAGTTCTGGTGGGCTTCTGAGAGGAAGTGAGGCGGACCCAGGTGGCAGGTGGAACAGGCAGCAGTTCTTTATTCAGAAGCTCTGTACTGAACACGCACACTGCGCTAGCCAGCTGGACATCAGCTGGCCTCACTCAGTTTACATTCTAGTCAGGGAGACAAGCAATAATCGAGCAGAATTAAAACTGACGAGATCATTTCAGAGGGCAAGGAGTCCCGTGAAGAAAATACGACTGGAAAATATGCCAGTGACTGGGGCAGGGCGGGGGAGGGGCCCTCTAGCTGAGGACAGACGTGGACCGAGGCCCGAATGGTGAGCAGCCAGCGTGGAAACTGTTCCCGGCAGAGCGAACGGCAGATACAGCCGATTCGAAGATCCCAAGGTGGCGTCGAGCTTGGGGATTTGCCGCAGGCAGTGTGAACGCCTAACCACCCCTCTCCTTCCTCCACAGCCAAGCGCCCAGCGCCGGCCAGACCCACCATGCCGCCCCCCCAGGTCTCCAGCACCCGCGGCTCCCCTCCAGCCCCACCCCCGCCCCCTGGCTCTGGCAGCCCTGCGCCCCCCCGGGCTCTGCCCCGCCGTCTGGTTAGCAGCAGCCTCCGGGCCCCCACGGTGCCACCCCCGTTGCCCCCCACTGCCCCCCAGCCTGCCCGGCGCCAGAGCCGGCCCCCACCAGCCTCCCCCAGCCCTGCCTCCCCGGGGCCAGCCTCCCTCTTCCCAGTCTCTCTGAGCGCACCTGCCGATGTGGACCTGGGGGCGGCCGCAGAGGAGGGAGGGGCCCCTGAGGCTGCAGGCAGGGCCCCCACTCCCCCGGTTATCCCCCCTCAGCCCCGGCCCAGGAGCCTCGCCTCAGAGACCGACTGAGCTGGCGGCTTCTCCCCGACAGCCCTCAGCATCCCCTCCTCCCCACCTTGTCCTCCCAGGACACAGCCCTCACCCCTCCCAAGGGGGTGAGGGCCTCCAGCCTTTGCCTACAAGTGCCTCGGTGTCCGCTGGGTCGGCCCCCACGGCAAGGAGGACTCAGGACAGTCCTCCACTTCCAGACCTCTTACTCTTGGCTCCACCCTGGGCTTGGGGGCGCCCCTCAGCCAACTCCCCACTCTCTGGCAGGGTCCCAGGGGAGCCGCCGGAAGGAAGGAGACGCTTGCCTGCTCCTACGGGACTTTTATTTTTCTCTTGCCAACATATTTTTTTGTAAGGCTGGTAAATAAATTATTTTGGACAAAACTGGAGCAGCTGCCCAAATGATAGTTTTATTTTCTGTTCTTGAAATAAAGAAGCCACTTTGATAAAGGGGAAAAAATTACCTATTCTTTGCCTCCTTTCTTTTTCCCTGTCTGAAATAATAACAGCCAACATTTTTAGCACTTACTCTGTGCTACCCATTGTGCTTTTCTATGCATGATTTCCATTTAATCCTCTTCCAGGGAAGTAAATCCCATTACCTCTCACAGGTGAGGAGACTGAAGCTCAGAAAATGACCAAGGCCACATGGCAAGTGAGGCATGGACCTGGCGCAGGTCTGCCTGATTCCAGAGCCTGGATCAGTCCCTCACATCCTGAGCAATTTATTTAACTTCTTGGAGTCTCCTTCATCTGTGAAAACATTTAACAACTTCCACCACAGAAATGTTGGTTTGAGGATTAAAAGAGACACACTTGTAAAGACCAAGGTACCGCCCTTGCACACAGAAGTGCCCTATAAGTGATGACTGCTTGCTGTTTCCCCCAACCTGTGGTGTTCTCTGTTTCTGGAGAAGCCAGGGAAGGCTCCCCTGTGGAGCAGGGATGGATCTGTCCTCAAATATTCCCTGAGGCCGCTCTGTGCCAGACTCTGGGCTAGGTCCCAGCTCAGCCCTACGCCCTAGGAGCTCCTGGGAACGGACGGGCAGGAGAACTGACAATTACAATCAAGTGTCATGGGGGTTCCCTGATGGTCCAGTGGTTAGGACTCCACGCTTTCACTGCCGAGCGCGCAGGTTCAGTCCCTGGTTGGAGAACTGAGATCCCGTAAGCCGCGTGGCAAGGCCAAAAAAAAGAAAAAGAATCAAGTGTCATAGCACTGGGAACCCATGTTAGCACACTTAGGGGCAAGCCAATTAACCCAGACTGGTGTGTGTGTGTGTGTGTGTGTGTGTGTGTGTGTGTAGGGTGAAGGCCAAGAAGGCTTCCTGGAGGAGGTGATATTGAGGGGGAGTCTTTCAGGAGCTGGCCAGCTAAAAAAGGGAAGAAGGAAGAACATTCCAAGCAAAGGAGACCACCTATGCAAAGGCCAGGAGCAAATGCCCAGGGCACTGAGGCACAGAAAATATCAGCCTCAAAGCCTGAGTGACAGGGTGTGGCTTTTCCCAGGTCTTTGAAGCTCCAGTTGCTCCTGGGGGTCAGACACGTCTTCAGAACCTTCTCAGAGGTTGGCAGACCACCTCAGAATTGTGACACATTCCTCCCCAAGTGGGGACCTAGGCAGCTGGGTCCCATCACTGCCCTGAGCAACTGGCTACTGCTGCTCTGTCTCCTTCCCGCTCCAGGGTCCTCGGGTGACAGACTGCCTCTAGCCCAGTGCCTCTCCACTCTGGCCTCACAGTAGAATCCCTGGGTAATTAAAAAAGCAAAGAAAATTTGAAATGCCCAAAACAATTAAACTAGAATTTCTGGGATCCTGCAACACATTGGTATTTTTAAAAAACGTTTCTCAAAAGTCATGGAACTGGATTTCCCTGGTGGCGCAGTGGTTAAGAATCCACTTGTCAACATGGGGGACACGGGTTTGAGCCCTGGTCCGGGAAGATCCCACATGCTGCGGAGCAACTGAGCCTGTGCGCCACAACTACTGAGCCTGCACTCTAGATCCCGCAAGCCACAACTACTGAGCCCGTGTGCCACAGCTACTGAAGCCTGCGCGCCTAGAACCCGTGCTCCCCAACAAAGAGAAGCCACCTCAATGAGAAGCCCGTGCCCGCAAGGAAGAGTAGCCCCCACTTGCCGCAACTAGAGAAAGCCCACGCACAGCAACGAAGACCCAAAGCAGCCAAAAATAAATAAATTAAATAAATAAATATATATTTTTTAAGTCATGGAACTGTACATTTAAGATCTACACATCTTACTGTATGTAAATTATATCTCAAAAAAAAAAAAATTCGTTCCCCTGGGGACTCCACCGCACAGCCAGATTGGAGAACCACTGGTCTAGACCAAGGGCTCCAGCGTCCGAGAGGACACCGTATGCCTCTCTCCTCAACACACCCACACTCTTCTCAAGACTTCGCTCGTAACTGGTGTGATCACGGTTCAGAGAGCAATGAGATTTGACCCAAAGATAACATCGCCTCTAGCATCTGTTTTCCTCCTAGCAACCAGCCGTCTTAAGCTTCTGATTGGCTGGGGAACGCGGAGCGGGCCATATTTTCTACTTGTAACTCCTTATTGGTCAAAAGGAGCGTCAGTCTCTCAGCCTCCCATCCCTGCAAGAAGCTAGTTAGGGCTGAAGCTCAGCGACTACTGGCCCAGCGGAACTAAGGGGAGTGACGAAGGACCAGGCTAGGCCGTCGTTGGTCTCTTTCCCTCGGTGGCGGCCGCGATTCCGCCCTTTTCTCCAGGTTCCCTTAGCTCGCAGCCCAGCTCCTCCCCGAGACTCTAGCCCCCATTGGCCGCGGGCCAGGCCGTGACCCCGCCCCCTGGCCCTTGCGGCGCGCCGATTGGCAGGTGCCGGAAACCAGCCAGCTGCGGACGAGCGCGCCGTGCCCGCGGGAACAGAGCGGCGCGGCGCGAGCGTGCGGGCAGCCAGCCGGCTGCATGGCGCGCTGCGAACGGCTGCGCGGCGCGACCCTGCGCGACGTGCTGGGCCGGGCGCAGGGGGTCCTTTTCGATTGCGACGGGGTGCTGTGGAACGGCGAGCGCGCCGTGCCGGGCGCCCCGGAGCTGCTGGAGCGGCTGGCGCGGGCTGGCAAGGCGACGCTGTTCGTGAGCAACAACAGCCGGCGCGCGCGGCCCGAGCTGGCCCTCCGCTTCGCGCGCCTTGGCTTCGGGGGGCTGCGCGCCGAGCAGCTCTTCAGCTCCGCGCTGTGCGCTGCGCGCTTCCTGCGCCAGCGCCAGCTCGGGCCGCCGAACGCGCAGGGCGCGGTGTTCGTGTTGGGCGGCGAGGGGCTGCGGGCCGAGCTGCGCGCCGCGGGGCTGCGCCTGGCGGGGGACCCCGACGAGGACCCGGGCTCGGCCCCGCGCGTGCGCGCCGTGCTGGTGGGCTACGACGAGCACTTCTCTTTCGCTAAGCTGAGCGAGGCCTGCGCGCACTTGCGCGACCCCGACTGCCTGCTGGTGGCCACCGACCGCGACCCGTGGCACCCGCTCAGCGACGGCAGCCGGACTCCCGGTGAGCGCGGGGCTGGCGGGGAAACTGAGCTAGGGCGCTTATGCCTCCACTCCTGCGAGTGGGGTGGGGAAGGGGCGTATCCAGGTGCCAGGTGGGGAACAGGAGGGATGTGAGGGCGGTCCCCACCCAGCAAGAGCCCAGGATGCTTTCATGTCCACATGTGGTAATTCTTGCAACCGTCACCCTGTGAGGGGCAGCAGTGGGGTCCCGGTTTGACAGATGAGGAAACTGAGGCCCATTGTGGCTCAAGGAGTTGCAGGCGGAATCCAGGGCCCCGACTCCCAATCCTAGCCTTTCTGAACCAGCCTCAAGGGCTCCTGTCATTTTCCCCACCCGCCATCGGGGTGAGGTCGGAGAATTGGGGACAAAGCCTGGAAGGATTCCCCCCGCCACCATTGGAGGTTTGGAACAGGAGTTTCTAGCGGCAGGGTGAAGGCAGGTGTGCGGGGAGCACAGAAAGTGGATGGAGTTTGACCTGAGTTCCAGTTCCAGCTCCAGGGCTCTGTAATCTTGTTAAGTTACATAACCTTTGAGCATCTCTGCCCTGGGTGTAAAATGGGAATAGTAACCATGACAGTTTCGCTGAGGAGAGAGTGATCAGGATGAGTGCCTGCTACACAGTAGGTGCTCAGATGATGTAAATTGTATCCAAGACCTCTCCTATTACAGAGCTTTATGAAGCACCTTGGTGTCTTATTTAGTTTCAGAATTACTCTGGAGATGGAAGTTATTGTCCCATTTCCCAGTTAAACTGAGGCTAAGAGAAGGGAAGTGAGCCACCCAAGAAAGAGCAAGAGGATCTGAACTTGGCTCTTGAGGCCACCTTACCCCCAGCCTGTAAACCCCACCCCCTCCATCCAAGGCACTCTTCACTGCTGTCATTTGGGAATTCAGATCTGCAGAGAAAGCAGGAGCAAGTGAGCCTCCTACATCTTGGAGGGTTCAAGTTAGACAAGAGCAGGTGGTAGCAGAGGCTAACTGACAGTAGTGAGTGTGTGTGTGGACAACCAGTCAGTAAGCTGAGGGCAGGGTGAGATCTCCATGACTCACTCCCTGCTGGCCGCTGACTCGATTGATACCGAACCCTAGGA